CCATCAGACCATCTCTTCAGTATCACTAAAGCAAGCTCAACAAAAGAACACAAAACCAGAGGTCTGTAACCTTTTTTAAAAAATCCCTTTTCTCATCAGTTGCCTTCCCTAGAGAAGTAACAGCAGATAAGCTGCACGACCCTCATTCAAACAGTTATGTGTTCCCCCAAAATGTATCTGTCCAAGGCTTTTTCAGTATCAGTGGCTTCTCTTAAAGGCACCACTCTGCCATCTCACAGTCCAGGGGTACCCAGGTGCCCAAGTATGGGCCAGGAGCTCTCACAAAGCAACCCAGGTCTCTCTATTGCCAACAAATTTAAGGAGCCCATGCCTTCATATTGCCCTGCCCCACGTTTCCCAGTTGCATTTTCTGGGCTCTCACACCACACGTGGCTCTGCAAGGAGCATTCAGTGACCAGCATCAGAACAAGTCTCATAACACGTAGCATGGGCAGATCCCTGAACAAGGGGTTCTCAGTCAGTCTGACCAGTCACTAGCACACAGGACACTTGTCTTGGAGGTGGGAGACCAGCAGCAGGGTGCTATGAGAACAAGCTAAGGAGGACAAACCAGGGTGCACAGCAACTTCACGGGTGTGGGGCTCATTGCCAAGCACCACAAGCAGAGCAGACTTGGTGGCAACAACAAGTCCCAGCAACAGCCCAGTGACCATCAGACAAACATTCAAGAATTAATCAAGTTCCAGAGCAAGCTAGGAAATCTGATAAGCAAATTGGGCTCAGCAGAGAACAAGGCTGAGCCCAAAACATTTTACACAGTTTACAGAAAGGGTAGAAGTGTTCAGACCTGAGTTTACATAGAGCTCCTGGGCTATGGGGGAAGGCTGGAGGCACCAGGAGAGGTTGATGAGGGCAATTAGAGTCTATTAGCACCCTCATTCCCAGCCAGTTGGCTTTCCTCAGGCTCCTTTGCATAAAGAATTTTGCCGCTGGTCCAGGAGACACAATCAGCCACTTTGGTTTCTGAAATCCGGACTACATTTCCTCAGTTAAAAGGGTTTTACTTGTTATAAGTGTCTCAAACAGTCTTCTGCACTCATCCCTCATCCAAGATGAGTTTTGTAATGGTTGAACTACATTAGCTCTTGCACTTGGGTTTGCGTCCTAAGCCCAAGAGAAGTGTCATTTCTGAGACCCTCGTGACATCTCTTTTCTAATTTGCCCTAAACCACTATGCTTTTCCTTCATACACCTCTCTAATATTTTTCCAGGCTCACGTGCTTGCCATAAGCACTATCCTTGAAGAACAAAGCTAGGACTGGTAGTTTCACAGGCATTCAGAACAGGTGTGGTTCTGCTGTGCCTATAACCCAACCTGAAAAGCCCAAAGTCATACAGGTACTAGAGGATAAAGCACATATTTTGACCCCCATATAATTAATGCCATGTTCTCTAGACCACAATAAGCACTGTTATAAAGCCATGCTCACCGAAGGGGGCTTCACATCATACTGTATCTATCCAGAACTTTCTTGGCAACTGTCGGTTGGAGGGAGAGGGGATGGTTGCTTTAGCAGAGCTGTGTGTTCCTTTAAGTGCGAAGTCATGATAAAGTGAGAGATGGAAATCTGCATGGCTGTGCAACGTGCAGTGATAAAGATGATTATAACCTCCAGTTCTCTTTAAACTTACCAAGGGCAATGGGGTGAGAGCTTAGTTAATCAATCCTGAGGAATCCTTTCCTGCTATCTTTTCCATCAGCAAAAGAATGAAATCACAGATGATGAATATGATTCATACTCAGGGAACAAATGCATAAGAAGCTCAAAGTGCAGTTGGCTCAACACAGCTTAATTAAGATAGGCATTGCAGGAGACTGTTGACAATGCCCTCTCACATTTATTCTTTTTTGAAGTGGCTACATGCCAATTAGATAGGGTCTTGAAGTAAAACTGCTCTAAAACTGAAGGCAAAGGGCATGTCACTTCCCTAACACTTAAATATGTTGGGACAGAAGTCAGTGCTAGTATTCCAGGCAAGGTACATATGTAAAAAATTGTATTGGGATCAGTGTGGTTTGCCACACATGTAGCTGCTGGAGGCTTTTGGAGGGATTACCTGAGTGAGAAGTTGGTTATTGGCAAGAGCTGAGGCACAGTATAAAAACACAGTCCTGCCCTCAAAAGCTTGCAATTCAGTTCCATTATTGACTCTTGGATTAGTTATAGGATTGCAGAGGCAAAGAGAAATGGATAAAAATATTAAAATTCAGACTGGCAGGGGAAGCAACTGGGGGTGAGGCCAAGCCTCTACAGCACATTTGATTACCAGTGGTGGCAAGAATTCTACATGTGGTTGAAAATCTCATTGTCAGATTCCCATTGGAGTTGATCATAACATGTAAAACAAAGCGTCTCTGTAGAATCAGAGCTCCAGTCATTCTCTGCTAAGACGAACACTGCCCTACAAACAGGGACATTAAAAACATCACACGTGGTGTCAAAAATGAGAAACCTAATTTTTTATAAATGAAAGCTGGTACTGAAGCATAACCACTTTAGAATTTTTCCAGGAAACCTCAAAACTCTCAAAACTTGCAAGGTTTGTGCTTAAAATCTCTGCAGATCTGACTTACAGAACCGGATAATTTCAGAGAAGAATCAGTCCTGTAGCCATAATGGTTCCTGTTCTTGTGAGCAGCAGAATTAAAACAGTTTAAGTGATGGAAAACAAAGGAAAGATGATCCCTTGGAAGGAATACTTCTCTAATAGAAAATATATTTAATTTTCCCTGTGTTTCATTGGTTTAAAAATTGTCTAGTTTCAAGCTGGAGCTTTTAAAGTCCAGGATAATTTGCAGTGCACTAGCCTGTCAGAACTCCTGATGAGAGCTCGACTCTCAACTTCAGGTCTAGTTTTGTCTTTTCAGCCTTACTTACAACTTTCTTTTCTTATAAATTGCTGAGTACCCACTCAGATTTCAACTTTTTTCTGTATTGACTTGTCTCTTAATCTTTGTCTGTCATTAATCTTTCATGTATACTGGAAATTTGGCTGGACTTTGCCTCATGCAGCCTGCTTTATGCTACTCAAAAGGCTCAAATTAAAATTACAACTTTTGTGTCGATTATCTTTGAATTAGAAAGATATCCAAAGCTCTTTCATGTTTCACAGCTGGCGAGAAATGAGATCTATGTGGGAATGGGAGATGTTCCTGTCAAGAGTTAATAGCAGCATTAATCTCTGGATCACTGTGGCTATATCCACATTGGGCATAGGATCAGGGTCAAACATTTAGTGGCTGAGAGCACGATTGACCTTTGAGATCATGGAAGGGACAAATATTAGCACTCATTATAATATTGCTAGCATCTAATAATGATGTAGAAAAATATGCAGCTGTTTTTCTGCACTACTACTGTGTATATTAAGATCCTATGTGTATGGTGTAGCTTAGAGCAACCCCAGAGCAGCTTTAAATAACGTGGCCAGTTCTGGTCATGAGAATTAATGCATTGGAAACAGCTTTCTCATAGTCTGCAGTTTCTAATGGGTTAATCAGTCTGCCTCAAGAAGCTGAGAGTGTTCAGTCTGATGTATTTGAAGGTAAAGAATAGGATTTTCTAAAGCTGTCATGATTAATTTTGATTATTTAATAAGACATATCAAGGAATTGTCTAATTAGCAGATCTGAACATCTGATCCCCTGTCTGCTCTTTGGTGAGCATGAGGGGCTGTTTGGTACTAGTTTTATTTCCAGTGTGTCTGAGAAGAGAGGTTTTATTTCATTAACCTGCACATAGGTAATTCTCAGATCACCATCCTGTTATTCCTCTGTGGGATAGATGTATATACCCTATCGGATGCAAAAGGTGTTCAATTTTAGTGTTGAAGGGCAAGAAGCAAACTACAGTCATCTTTCTGGAAACTGGCAGTCACACCACTGTCCCTTATGTTGTTGTTGTCAGAGAATGGGTAGGATGTAATTCCCTTCATCTCACGCAGAAATTACTTGGCCATGTTGACATTTGCAGCCCTCTGGGACAGCCCCAGCTACTGACCTGTTTGCTAAACACTAGTTCAGCTGTGTCAGTTCTGTTGAAAACTATTTCCTGGCATTTGTGTTCAGCTCACACTATTTTGAAATATCCCAGCCACGATTGTTTTCTTTCTTGAGGAAAATAACCTCTCTACTTAGACCATTGAAAACCTGGGTGTTAAATGCCTTTCATGTCTTTTATCAGCACTGTGTGCCTGCCTTCTCTGTTGTGAGGAGCCATTGCTGTTCATAGAGTGCCCATTTGTCATTCTTCACGTCCACACATGTTAGTGGGGTTGTTTCTGAGAAGCTGCGTGGCACAAAATGACCTCTGAACACTCTGGGCTGTGTGACTGCATTTATGCTTAGAAGCAAAAGAAGCACAGTCCCTGGAGCAGCAGAAACAGCAGCATCTGCCTTGGGCTGTGAGGGAAGCTGAGCCTTCAGAGACACAAAAGCCTGAAGCTATTTCCTTCTGTCAGTTATTCAACTGAAGTCGTTGGGAAATTACTGAGGACAATACATCCAATTAGAGAGATCAGTTCTGCACCTCATGACAGCAGTATGCAGTATGCATAGTTCCTGCAGCAGCAGGCAATAAAAGTTACTCACAGGCAGGCCTGCAATTCTTTGAACGTACTCACACTGCAAGCAGCATAGACAGGGACGAGGTTTCTGTTTGCATGGCAGCTCTAGGGCAGCTAGATAATAATTCAGGTTGGAGGACAGTGCTTTTACTTTCTCCCCTCAGTTCTGTGTTGTAGACATCTGTAAGCACCACAGGTGTTACCCATATCTCTCTTAGCAAACAGGTTTGAATAGGTATTATTATAACCATTGCATTTCGGAAGCAGCTATCCTGTACACTTAAATGGTGCATACTCCAAGGAGATTCATTTGGGGCTTATGTTTTACCCACTGAGATAATGTGACCTGAGATTCTGGGATTCAACAAGACAGACAAATGCATTGGAGTGGGGAAAAACTACAAAACTGGATGTGGAAATGAGTTAAGTTTTATTAAATTGTATTTTTTGTCCAGTGGTTTTATCAAAACCACACACATTTATACAGTAGGGAAAGAAAATATTGAAGGAGACAGGGAGTCTGGTATTCTGATAGTAGACCAGAAATAGACACTGATTTGCAACCCATTTAGAAAAAGCCAGTAGCAATCTGGGCTGCCTTCGCAGAAATTCTCTGGAGCACTCATTTCTTGAACATCATGCTGAGTCTGGGCACTGTGTTATCAGTAGGGAGAGGTCAGAGCTGAAAGAAAAAAAATTGATGAGCAGGTCATTGACTTGGGATGAGCGACTTGTACAGTATGAGAAAGTACTAAAGTGATTTATGCCAGCTGAGGATCTGAGCTGGCTAGTTTAGTTTTGGCCACTAGCCAACCTAAAGGGTGAGAACAGAGCTCAGCAGTCTGCAAATAACTGAAGGCTGTTAAATACCAAGGAGGAAATTAAATGATTTAATGAAGCACACAAAGGTGTAACTAGAAGTAGTTGGACTTAATTAAGAAAGGGAATATTGTAAATGAGTATCCAGAAAGCTTCTTGCTGATGAAATATGATAGTCTGAAAATCACCTTCTCCTGAGTCTTAAAACTGGGTGTGACAGAATACAAATGTCTTGCAGGCTGAGAAAGACTGTGTGTGTTTATAGCATACAAACTTATAGCTGTTTTGCAGTCTTGAGCTCTAATATGTGCATCTTACCTGTTGCAAGCCATCATAGATGTTTGAGACTTATAAACACAAATCCACTGTATTTTTTTGCTACCCTGAATGAATATCTGCTCCTCTTCCATCTGAAAAAAACCCCACAAACCAATAAACAACCCTAGCTTATAAGATATGCTTAGTAGAGAATTGGTTTTATGGTTAAATGGAGAAAAGTGATGATAACTATATGGAAGAGTAGCCATGATAGGCCTTGCAAAGTTCTCGGATCAAAAGATGTTTTCTGAGCTGTCTCAAAATTCTTAGAAAATGTCTCCCCTGTAGTGAGGACGCTGCAAAGAGACTGTACAGCTACAAACAGGAGAGAAACTTGAGCTTGGCTGGAGCATTCAGGTACCTCTGTGATGAAGAGACACAGAGTTGTTGCTGCTCCCCTTACCTTAAAACCAGTAGCGACCGACTAGGGGAGTAACACTTCCGTTTGTGAACAAACTGAGAATCATTAGCTGAGATATTTGAGAGACAGAGATTATTCTGAATTTGCTAAAATGGCCACATCTGAATTTATTTCACAGCTCATTAGGGAGCTGTGTATAATAAATTACACAGCATGTTATGTTCAGCTAACCTGCCAGCTCACTGGTTTTTTTTATGCTCTGGGTTGGTGAATGTGAATAAACGAATAGTGCCAATTCGACCATTGTTTCATTTCCAAATGACAGAGACAGTGACTTGACAGGTTTTTTTTTTCTATCTGTTGAACCTAAAGGGGTTTCTGGCAAACCTAGAGGTGATTTTTCTGCTTTCTACATCCATGAGGGCTGCTTCCAGTTGATAAGAAAAGACATATTAGCAGGAGGACAGAGCTACCTAAAGGCAGGAGGGTCTATTTTTCTTTCCTAATTGTTGCTCACAGGAATAGTTCCTCTCTGCCCAATAATTTCCACTGCCCAGTGGTCAGGATTTTCGGACAGGCTTGAGATGTCCTGTACACCTCAAGGGCATGCTGGACATGTCCAAGTCTCAGCCTTGCCATTTTGTTATTCACTTTGGGCTGTGGTTTCATCTGGCTGCTGCACAGCATTGGGCATAGGGAAAAGGCTTCACTTCAGTTTCCATATATAATTGCTGCATGTTTTGGTCTTTTTAACTTGACTGTGTAGTCCAAGTTTGCTTTGTGGTCCCACCTTACCATTTCCAGAGTTGTGAGAAGACACAGTTGCTGATGTAGGGGAGAGTACCAAAGCAGGAAGAATTTCTTTATGCATTTTTTTAAACAATTCAGCTTTTCAAAGAAGAGAGACTTTTTTATTTCTGCTACCCCCGCCCTCCCTCAGAATTTGAACCTGTTGGGCAAGATTTTCTTATTTTTACTTAATCTTTTTTTTTCCCTTTCCTGTTTCACAGTTATTACCCAAAATAGATCTCTGTAGAGTGAGAAAATGTTTCATTAACTTCTTTGGTGCTCCTAGGAAAGAATAACTCATTACTGGAACTAGTGAAAAAAAGTAAAATATACATATATATGTATATATGTATGTATGTATGTCTTATAGCATTTATGCTTTCTCAAAGCAAAAGCTTTTGAAGATGAACAGGGAGCTTTAGGGAGATGTTTCACTGCGGAATGTTTCCATTTTCTGTCAGCACCATTCATCAACAGGATTAATTTTTTTCACGAACTGGCTGTTCCAGGCCATAATGATGGCTTTACGAGAATGTGTGGGGACAATTCCTGTTTCGTGTATGGCATGTTTGCATTAAATCTGGTCTAAACACAAAAACTGTACTATCTGTCTATACGAATTTCCCAGTTGATTTCAATAAATCAACTCTGTCCATTACTAATATGTATTTTAGATTGGAGAGTGCTTTATTCAGTGTTTCAAGAGTCGTTGAAAGAAAAAAAACCACCCTCTGACAAGTACTTGGTACTCTTATCTCATCTAAGGAGTGCCCTGTGAAAGAAGTGTGTCTTTACCAAATCAGGTTTCAAACAGGCATAAGATTGGTGCCCGTATGGATTTGAATTCTTCCATAAAGTAAGTCACAATGTAGGCTTTGATTTACTGGCTGGTATTAAGGGATCAGTAGCATTCACAAGGACATGAAAGTAATACACAGGTGTTAAGACACCTGAAACCAGTGGCCGCATTTTTAAAACCAGCCAGTTCCAGCCCGTGGGATGAGGCTGGGGTTTTGTCTGCTCCTGTGCTTGTGTGGCAAAGCAGTTCATGCACTGAGCCAGCATTTGAGCACTGCAGGAGCCTTGCAGCAGGCAGAAACTGTGAGCATAACTGGAGGCAGGCTGTGCCATGCCTCTGTTTCACCAGCTGTGACCAGGGAAAAAATTGCACTCAACTTCTTTATATGTGCTTTGATGACAAGTGGTCTGCTGGAGCCAGGCAGCAGGGCTAAGAAAAATGACCTGTCTTTATTTCCCTTTGCAACTGGTAACACTTTTAAACATCCATCCCCTTTACTCACACATACACCCAAAGAGCTGTGCAAACTTCTGACACTGACCTAAGCAGGGGATGGAAACAATCTGCTCTGTGCAACAGAATACAGGGATTTCCATTTTCTCAAAACCATACATTCTACCTTAATTGCTTTCCTGTAATAATATAGCGATATGGTGTTGGCTTTGTATGAATAATTCAGGGCAGTAAAATGATAAAGTTATCAACAGAAGATGGCTTACAGCTGATAATTTAATGCAGTTCATAGATATTTCAAAGACAAAAAGATATATCTGCAGGTGGAATCTGAAATACCACATTGAGAATGTGTACAAATGTATTAACTGTTACTGGGGTAGAGGAAAAATAAGAGTCAACTGAAGATAGTGAATAAAACATTTTTATATACCCTGAATGTATGCTATTGTCTTCTAGTAAATAATGAACAGAAGATCTTTGCAAAATTCAGATAATCTCCCGTGCAATTGGTACACAGTGTTTTATGAGGAGCAACGGGAAGACTTGAAGAAGACTCAGAACTCTTTTCTAGTTGGGGGCTTAATAAACGTGGTAGTATGTGTGCAGCAATATATAAGGAGGCAGATTTTGTGCGTGGGCTACACATATCAGAGGTCTAGAGCTTCGCACACAGAAACATGCCCTGTGTGCAGAAGCTCTACTTTTTTTGTCCCGCTCACTCCCCAGGTCTCCATGCTCTCCATGATGTAGGAGCAGTGATCGAAAGGAACAACTGAAAGCAGGTTAAAACCAAAACATGAATTGTTGCAGCCCTGAGCTTCCAGGATACAGTTGTGCTTTGTGCTGCCTCTCTGGCCCAAGTTAGTGCTGGAAATGGAGCAACTGAGGGAAACATCAGAGTAAAACTCAAGTGCTACTACAATTTCCCAACAGCTTCAGCTGTGCTAACAAATGTGAGAGCAGTCCACATTTCCACAGCTCCCCAGTTCCCACGTGGAGTGGACCTGTGTGTTTTGCTCCCTGCTTGGAGCATGGGGAAGGTGGGGAACCTCTTCATAATGCAAAACAGGATGGCCATCTCCTGTGCAGCTATGGCAAGCCAGCCACCAGGAAAAAGACAGACCAAGATGTTCTATCAAGCAATCTTCCTGCTGAATCCTCACTTCTGCACCTCACCCTCGAGGGAGATGGTTTTCCCTTTCGGTGTCTTGATATAAGCACTTGGAAAAGAGGGAATGCAGGAACGCACATTTGGAGAATTGCCTGAGGCTCTTCGCAGTTTCAACCTCTGCCTCTGCTGTGGAGGCTCAAAGGGCTGAGTTGTGCCCACCCATGCAGGTTCCATACAGCCCACTCAGGAGGCAGTGTGGGCACAGCCAGCCTGCTCGAGAGCGCTGCAGACTTTGCAGCCTAGACCTTGAGAACTACTTGTCAGAGACCATGGCTTATGAGCTGCTTTGGAGAACAAAGACTGTAAAGATGGAGGCTTTGAATTTTTAGGGACAAGTCTCAAGTAATTTTTAAGTTTGGACCACAGTTTTCTTTATGTAAATCCATGCAGTTAGGTTCTTTGTGTCTGTTGACCCTTCAGAAGCACCTTGCAAGCACCACTAGAGATCTGCCCCTGAAATAAGCTTGAAGATTTCTCCTGTATTAAATTGCCTTGTTAATATCTCTCTCTCTTTTTTCTTTTTTTTTTTTTTTTTTAAACATTCCTCCCCTTTCAAAGAAAATGAAAGAGGAATCTTTACTCTTCAGTGTCAGAGAAAAAAACATCTTGACTTAATGGTCTTGTCTCTTTTTCCTCCCCATTCTATTACCCTTTACACTATTCATTTACCTGTTTACTATTAAAATAACCATCTGATGGTGGCATTACTTCATGAAGTGATACAGATATGCTAAGTGGAGTGTGACAGATGAATTCCGTAATTTGAAAACCTGCTAGCTATGAGGTAGCAAGCAGTGCCTTTTTTTCTGCCTTTATTGACTATTACAGCTCCATTTTGCAGTGCATACTGTTCCAGTGACATGGTTTTCCATGCAAAAAAAGTCTTTTTTTTTTTTCTGAAACCAAAAAATCTTCCCATCTGTGTTTGTGTAGGCTATGTAATAATGGGATCATTTATTCAAGCCAGAGAAGATAGTTTGTTTTGTTAAGAAAACGGCTTTTGATTACCTTCCTAGAATCTAATTTTTAAAATATGTAAATTAAAAGCTTGCATATTAATTGCAGGGCATGCAAGTGCCATTGGCATTCTTTCAGTATACCTGTGCCAGAGCTGCTGCTGGCTGGAATGTGACAAGGCAAAGGGTTGTATAAATACATCTGGTCTGAGTGATCCTGATGGGAAATCTGACCACAAATACTTAATTCCCTTATGTGATTGCTTTCTGCTCTAATTACTTTGTGAAAAGACAGAATGATTGTCTTTTCAATAAGCTGACATACTTTTTAGATTGAAACTGTAAAGTGTTTTTCTTCAGTGGAGGTTTCCATTTTAATGGACTAGCAGTACTTACCAACTCAGCTTATCTCTTTTTGGCTCAGTTCAGTGCAGTAACAGCTGAGGAGTAACTTCATTAAACATGTGCTGTGTGGCAGGGGAACACTGCTTTGCCAAAATCTATACTTATTGTGAAGTATGTTATTTTAACAAGGGAAAGCTAGGATTTCATTATACATTTATTCCCATAGTAAAGATAATTGCATTTGTCCCTCATATAGCAACTTTCACAGACCTTAATAAACATCAATTAAACCTAACCTACCCATTTATTCTGCAGCAAAAATGATAAATATCCATCTTTAAAAATCAGTTTTCAAAATAGGCTTTTTCTAAATGTGTATCTACTGTTTATTGGACTATGTGGTGAAAATGAAAGATCAGATCTTGATCTTGGTTATCCCCTAGGGAATGACAATAAATGTGCTGGGGCTAACAGATTTATGCAGATGTTTTCAGAATGAAAAGCTTGTCTGCAAATGTTAATGTTGGAATGGTGGCCTTGTCCTTCACTCTCTGGTAGTAGGTGTTCACGTGCACTTCTCTGAGAATGGGGTAGTAACTTAAGCCTAGAGTGAGTCTTGCGCTGCTGGAAAGATTTTTGTAGCTGAAATCTAATGTGCAGTTTCTGATTATGTACAGCGTGACTGGATCCTTGCCTACCTTTTCTGAGAAGTCTGCTAATCCCAAAATTTTGGCCATGGGGTGATGAAAGCAGATCAGAAAGCAGATCTTTCATTCCTTGTGAGTTTCTGGTGGTGGGCATCTAAAAGATGTTCAGAGAGCCCAACCTTAGGTATGCAACTCCATGGAAAGGGGAAGATTTTTTTCCCAGGCTCGATTAAGGTTCCTTGATTTACCTTCTGTTCACTGACTGTGTATGTAGGAAAGGTATAAAAAGCAGTTTCCTGGGGCAAATGGTGTGAATGGCTGTATTTTATTAATTTCTAGGCTAAAATCATCTGAATGAGATGACGAAACTGAAAACTCTCAAAGTCTTTTATCCCATAAAATGTTACTATCCTTTTTAGGTTTCACAATATTTCATTTTTTAAGCGGGTTCATTTGGTTACTTTTAATCAAGAACACAAACATGCTGGTGTTATTCAAGCAAAACCAAATTTTGTCTGGCTGCTGGAAAGAGTTTCTTTTCGGTTTGTGTTGTTTCTGAGCTCAGCCTTCAGGTCACTGTCCACTGAGCCCCCTGAGGCCTTCAGTTTTTGGTAAGCTCCCTCTGGCCAAATGCCCAGTCCATGCTAATGCACTTGCTGTGATTTTCAAAATTCTGCCCAGATGGTCTTTTCCTCTGGAATAGTTTATGATGCTCAGTCTCCCATTTTCCTCAGGGGAGAAATATATAATTTAATTTGTGGGTTTCAGTAGTCTTACTAATGACTTGCTGCTTGTTCTGTTTTTTTTAAGGAGTTACAGATGCCCCACTGGCACTTTTATGTTGTCCTGTGTTGTTTCCATCAGTTGTTGGATTTCAGGAGGGAGAGATGTAAACTGTACTTCAGCTTCTTTGAAACAAAGCTGACAGAATGGTTGAAAATGAGGCACATTCTGCTGCTAAATATTTTGCCTTCCTGGGTTGCATTTTGCAAGAGACAGTTGGAAAAGTATATTCACGAGAGAAACTACTGAATCTGAAATGCTTGTCTCTCAAAGTCTAAAGGGCATCAAGTAGGAAACCATTAACTTTGGGCACAGAACTTGCCCTTTAGCAACACACAGAACATTATTAAAACAACCTTTAAGGATTTTGCTGGTGAAGAAGTCTGACTACTTTATCACCATCTCAGCAGTGCTAACTTAAGGCATGGGCCTGAGGAGCTCAGCCTGTCTCCTGATCCGACAGGTTTGCGCATCGTGCCAATGGAAATGACTCCAGCCAGTGCATCTCCTATAACAGGGGACCTGCTGGGCTGTGTGTGTGGCACTCCTGGGACCTCTACTGTTCTCGAAAAAACCTCTCTGTTGAGGAGTGTTTTTAAAATGGTGTGCTGCAGTAGTTAGCATATAATAACAAGAACTATAAAAGCAGAACAAGCAGAAATTATTTTAGACCTGGTGGTAAGCTGTGCAAAAAAAAAGATAGAAGGCTGCTATGTTCCTGTTCTGACAGATTCATGGATTCTTTTTTATCCTTGAGAGCTACATCTAGCTGAAAACAGAAATGTTTTCTGGGAGTAACATCAAGAGAATTTTTTTTTTTTGGCCCTGTTCATTAAAGCTGTATTTTTATTCTTGATGAAGAACGAAGTATTTAGGCTTAAATGGGTGTTAGTCTGCAAGGAAGTGTTTTGAAAGAAATGTTGCTAGAGGGAGTTTTGGTTTCCTCTATGTAGGTAGTGTCCCGTGCTTAGCTTACAACAAGCTGACACCAGTGGTTAGTCAGCTTTGTTCTAAATGCTGTGAATTCAGAGAAAAGCTGTGAATTCAAATGTTCATTACAAGCCCGAGTTTCTAATAACTAAACCTACAAAAAAACTCCTGCAACAGACAGTGATCAAGTGTCTTTAGTAGTTTTTTCCATGCTGTATTTTGCATGAGAAATCATCTTCTTTTTGAGAACAGAATGACAGTCCCAGGTCCTCTGTATTAACAACAGCAGCAAAGCAGGTTCCTTATCTGTAAAGAAACTTGCAGGCACAGACAGTTGCTCCTGGGGCTGACATAATGCAAAGAGCTCTGGCACAAAGACCGCTAAACTGGATGGACTCAGATACAGCATCTGTGGTGCTTGTACGTGGTTTGCTCTCAGGGGAAAGTTGCAACAGAAAGCAGTTGGAGCCGTGTCTTTTGTATGGCAGTGATGACCAGTCATCTGCAGCTCTGGAGAGAGACAAGAGAGAGACTGTGAAGGTACAGTGTGGCTGTCACGCACGCACAGCAAGAACCCTGGTCAGCTCACACCTCCCAGTCGGCACGATAGCGCAGTACACAAGGATTATGTCAAAGTGCATTTGCAGCAGTACATGGTTTGCCAGACATCTGACAGCTTGAGGTGCTGGCCACATGGAAAAATAGCTGATGGTGAGAAAAGAAAAAGAAAAGCTATACCTTACTGCTTTCCAAAGAATTGGTCCCATGTCCTGTCAATTGACGTTATATAGGATGTGTAGCAACATGGTTGCTGGGTGTGGGTCCTTTCAAATGCAGACATACTCCAGTCTCCTGCTGGAAGATAGCACATGTAAGCCAGGGTTCTTGTAAAAAAAAATAATTATATATCTCATCAGATTGTCGAACCAGCAATAACTGCATCAAGTCCCACTAGGCAACTGTGGGTTTTCCCTTTCCACCAGTTAATTTCTAGCCCTGGAAGATTGTAGATGTGGTCTTGAATCTTCTTTCATTTCACTCATAAATAAGCAGCACCGTCAGTCTTTTAGAGTACTTCCTACAGCTGGATATAGAGGGAGTACATTGTTTCTACCCAGGGGCTTTATTCTACAGCATTTTTGAAGTTGTCTGTGGATGTGAGTTGCTTTCTGCAACAGGAACTTGTGGGGAAGCATGTTCTTATCTTACCTGTAATCCTCCAGTGTTCCTTCCCAGACTGCTAAATGTCAGGGCTCTCCTTGTCTTATCTATCTGTATGACCTTGCCCCCAGGATGGCTATGGAAATTGCAGGAACGCTTTACAGAGACAGTTCTCAGCCTGTGAACAGCATCAGTGTTTTTGGGTTTGGTTTTTTTTCCTCTTTTTAAGAAGCAAAGATAATTCTGACAGCTGGATGTAACCACATGGTAGTTGTCCTGCCATTGTTTGCAAGCTGGTCACAGTCATTCCTGACTAGGAGCTATTAAAGTGGAGCTCAGACTCCAGAGGTGTTGAGTGACATGCTGTTGTCCTAATGTGTCAAGCAACAAGTGCTGTCTTTTGGCAGCCCGAGCTTACATATCAGTTCTGTCAAGGTTTTAGAGTCTACTGTGGCAATCTCTTGCTTTGGCTGTGCTTGTCCTTAGAGCCAAACTACTTATCGCTGACTTGTCACATGCTAACTAATAAAAGCAGCAAACCTCTCTCCTTTTGACTTGCTAGAGGACAAGGGAAGTCTGTGCTTTGCAAACCTCACACAAATCAGTGTATTCTTCTCTGTGAACTGTGCAGTAGAGAAGAAATTTGTTTACATTAAAATGCTTCTGTGCTGATGCTGGTGTGATAAAACAAAGCAAGAATAAATGGGGATTTGCCAGCAACAGAGAGCCAGGTGGAAAATTCTTTCTTCACTAGGGATTCAGATGTTTCACAAGAAGCCACAGGAACTTTTCTGGAGCTAACAGTATCATTTTGCCTGGCGCTCAAGTTTAAAACTGTGTTCTTTTCAACTTGTTCAGGTTGCTGTGTGGTATAATACCCTGACAGAGATGAAATGCACGCTTGTATCTGCATTTCTTTCTGGTAGTTAACAGTGGAAGAGAGGGGAAGCCTTGAGCTCACACGAGCTCCATCCTCTTGTGTATGGCAGGATGCCCTGATGCTGTATTGAGATTCATCAACATTACATCTGTGGGTAGATCACTTCCCCTACAGGTCAGTTCTGCTTTGTCCTCAGAGTACAAACTTGTGGCATGGCGCAGGAGTGCACAGGCTGGATCCTGAACGCGATCCAAGTGCTACAGCCCTCTGCTCTGAGGCAGGTGGGTCCTGGAGAGGTATTCAGAGTCCAGCATTGAGCTGCCAGGGTACACTGTACTTTGTGTCGAGGAGGCAGGTGTCTCAGCATGGGCTCCTCATCTGAATTTTAACCTTGGAAGTTACACATGGAGTCAAGAGCCTGATCTCAGGCTTATTCTCCAAGGAGCAGGAGGTAGTCAGGAGGCAGGTCTTTCTGTGCCTGAGCTCTAGAGCTGTATCATGTTTAGTCATGAGCAAAAGGACCAGGTTGCTCAACTAGTTTATGAGACATCCAGCTCTTATAGTTCAGCATGGCTCATGTGGGTGTGCTACTGGACACCCCACGGAACCACTACTTGCCATGATTCTGTCAGCATTGCCCAGTCTGGCTGAATTTTCTAGGAAAAGGCAGATTTTATTTCAGGGCTCCAGGTGCTGTGAGGATGGCAAGTTTGATGAGATGGTAATCTAGACCACATGGACCTGATAAATTTGTGGTAGTAAGTCTGACACTTCCGCCAAAGCCTGCTGCTAGCAGAATTGCCTGGCTCAGCACTACTTCCCATGCTGGACCAGACCCCAGCCTAACAGAAAAATGGTTTGTTCTCAGGTAAAACTTCTTTCTGCTTCTGAAGTATAAATAAGGAGTGGGTTTCTTGTAGTGCCTTAAATATGATAGATTTCCTGTACTGTTTTAAACAATAGTAATGAGGAGACCCTGGTCTCTGATGCAGTCTTGTCAGAAATATTGGTCAAACCAGCAGGCACTTACTAACCCAAGACAATACCCAAACTGGGGAAGGGTCACTTCTTTATCAGGGTTGTTACTGAGAATAGTAATAGGCTGGGGGCAGATGATTTATCTGTACAGGCAGAAGAGTCTAAACAGGAGAATGAAATTATTATTATTGTTGTTGTTATTATTAATTCTCTCTGATGAACATGCTTCCTTTTTTTTCCTCTCAATTTTGCTGCATGGAAAATTTTTTCCAAACATTTTAAGCTTGAAAAAACCCATCACTGAACAACAGTTCTAATGAAATAAATAAAGTCCTTTTTTTGTTTACTTGTCTAATTCCAAGTTTTCAGGAATTGTTTCTCAAAATCTTTTGGCTTTGAGAGAAAAATGTCATAAGAATATTTTTTAGTCACAAAATGATTGTAAAAAAAGACTGATAATTTTTCTTTTAGCTCAAGAATAATTTTTGGGCTGAGCCTGAGTATTAAAAATGTCATAATAAATGGCAACTTTTCTGGAAACTTGAAAGTTTGTGAAAGAGGGAGGTTATGCTGACAGATGTTTCAGAAACTTAATTAATGAAGCCCTGAAATTAAAAAGTACAATTTGGCTTCTTTCATGAGAAGAAATACCACGTAACATTTCAAAAGTAATAAAAGACCAATCATCCCAAGAACTTCAGACAATAAAGAATGATTGTAAAATAGCAGTTAGGTTTCTTTTCATCATTGTGAACTTTTAAATGTATCTCTGAACTGTCTGAAAGACTCTGATCATATTTTGTGACAATTACTGAGCTTTCAGGATTTTTGTACATTCTACATTACCAAACAAAACCTTTTGAATATTTTAATGATTGAATAGCTCCTTTAAGAATCTGTAGGTGTTCCAGTCAAGGTTGTTCTTCCCTCCTACTGGTCAGAAATTATCAGAGACCAGATTGTTCTAAAACTCAAAATCTTTGCATCCAAATGAATAACTCTTTTTAAATGCTTCAGTGTCACTAAAAACTGTATATTTAAAAACCATTTTGTTTTCCTGAAACTACTCCAAGTGACTCCAACTTCATTTCGCATGTAATAGTTTTACCCAAAAGAAAGATGCACTTAATCTCAGCTGTAAGAACATGGATTTCCTAGTTCTGTACTGCTGTCATTTGTGAAAAATGGCTTTGCCTTACTGTATTTCTTTTCATTATCCTTACTTAGTGGCTGATCAGCTTCCAATAATGTGGTTACTTGATCTTATCCTGCAAAATTACAATCCATTATCTCATCAGGATATGTTCTCAGAGGGGATTTAAAAAAAATGCTGTCAGTAATACCTATACTCAGTTTAAATTAAGTGAGAACATGAAGTAAGCTTCACTGCTGCGAAGTAAAGGGTATCAGCACCTGTCCTTCATTAATCTGCTCAGCCCTTTCTCTTTACACTGTGAAGTGGCATGATAACATAAAACCACAATTAAATGCATGGAAACTTGCTGCCTGTCCATGCTTTGAGGAGTCTCATGCACCCAGATGTTGCCTTGTTCTAGCTTTGCTGCTGGACATGAGAATGGTTTGCTGCTGGGCTGAGATTGACAGGGAGCTCATCACAATGGCTTTCCTCAAGTAAGCAGAGGCACGTTAGAGTACACAAAGCCTGTTGTGAAAAGCTGAAATAAAGCCAAACATTTGTAAGCCAGTTTCTAACCTTTGTTAATTGAGGTGCCATTTTATTAGGCAGAATTGATGATGCAGTAAGGGGAGTCACACTACATTAAGGCAAATGTATGGAAACACTTGCCACTGAAAGGCAGATGCTGCTTGAGGACATGTTAAGGGATGAGTGTAATGCCGTAGGGAAAATTCTGCAGGTAAAGGTCAGTGGAGGTTTCCTTAAAAGTAGTTCTTGGACAAGGTTGTGTGACATTTTTTTGTCTGCTTTCTAATACTGCTTTCTAATCTTTGCCTCAAAGAAACAACGGGGTACAAAGCATATTGTCTGTGCAAGGACTTAAACTCGTACAGTGTTGATCTCCCTGTCTGTCTGCAAAATGCCAATAGCTAAAAATCATAGACTTTGTTTTGGAAAATAAAAAGAAAAGAAAGCCTTTTTCTCTAGACTTTTTGAGGTGAAGTTTCAAGCATTCTCATATATTTCTAAGAGCTACACATTTTCCTGAGTGAAAAAGAATAATAAAATATATAAGTGAAAAAAAAAAGGTATTTCCCACAGTCATGTACTTCCAGATGCCATGTATTTAGGGGAAAAGAACATCATGTGCTTAAAATAATGAGAGTTAATAACATCAGGAATAGCACAATTTGCACTAATTTCATTTAAACAAGAACTGAAACTTCTCAGCTGCACAGTTGTAAATATGCTATTTATTGTCAGTAACCTTAAAAGACTGGTCACCTAAGAAGATTCATTTGGGCCTCTTTATTACCAGAAGCATCTCCTTGGACTTCTGTACTGCAGTCCACCAGCTGTCTGTTACGATATATCCTGCCTGTCATCAGATTTGAGTTCTGTATCATGCAGTACTTATTTTTGTAGAGCAGTAGGTGTGAGTTTGTGTGTTACAGGGGCTGGGGGTGGAGGTTTCACTTTGTACTGCTTGCAGATAGAATTACTGTGCCTGTATTTCAGCTTCACTTATTTCCCTTGTGTCTCTTGTGGATATTTGCGGGGGATAAAATAAACACTGGCTTTGGATTTGTTTTGCACTGTGAATTTGCTTCTAATTGGCACCACCCACAACAAAGTTTAAAGTAAACATTTTCGGTTTTCAAAGCCAGAAGGATAATGCCAGCCTACTGCAGTGAGTTTTTAAACGGCTGACAAAACATCGCTGTGGTCAGAGGTAAAAACTCCTGCAGAGGCAAGGTGAGCACTAATGATCTCTGGGCCCTGCTTGCAAGCTGGTCCCTGGACTCTCCCTTCTCACAACCTCTGAAGGATGTGGCCTGAGGCTTGTGGCTTTTGGCCATGTAATGTTTCCATTGCACAGTTCACAGGGTCAGAAAGGCTGACATCCTCTGCCGAGGAGCCCTGCCAGTATAGCTGACGGGGAGAAACTTGGGTGTATATCACTTTTACCCTGTCCCTTAGCTGGTGAGTTTTAGTCCTGACTGCAGCATTATTTAAAATAGCTTCAGGATTGTTTAGTGTTAGAGTCAGGGAACTTGCCTTCTGTGCCTTTTTACCTTGTCCATTACTTATTTATTAAGAGCTTTAGCTTAAAGAGATAAAATTAAACTATCCAGGTAGTTTTAGTAGTAATTCTGTGGAGCTTCTTCAAAGCAGCTTTTTATTGGTGTCCATGCACGTGTAGATAGAATGCTTAAAATTGATTTTGTGGCTGCTAAGGTAGGCATGTGCAGGCAAAGAAACACCAGAGATTCATGCAGGGTTTTTTTGGTTTGGTTTAGTTGGTGTCTTGTTGTTGTTGTTTGTTTTTTTACCATGCAGCCTTTATTAACAGTATTTGGGAATAAACACTATCAAATTTTACATACTATACACTGCAATCTTAGATCTACGTTCTTAATATCTAACAGCCAGGCTCACATGCTTAAATTTCTGCAGTGCTTCAGAAATACGTTGTAGTTATTACTTAATTGATATGGATAACAGAATCAAACCAAATATTTAAAAGCATTAGACCCCCAAATAATCAGGTAAACGTATTCCTAAATTCTTAGCCAGATGAAGCCAGGAGCCAGACACACAAATTATTGTTAGTGTTTTTCCAAATGAGTACATTAGATCAGGTTCTTAAATCTTCCCTTGGACAGCTGAGTAAAAAGAGTCTGAAAGCACAGCTATGCTCCTGCCTGGCCCTGAAAACATAAAAATTCAAGTTTGAAATGGGGAGATGTGAACAGTGCTGGTTGGATCAAACACAATACCAGGTGTAAGGGCTGCACAGCTGCTAAACAAGGTGATGAGGCCATGAGGGATGGTATGTGCCATGTGAATGTACTGGTTCAGACCTCCTTTAGCAAGGGGATTTCACTGCTTGTTTCCAACACAGTTGAGCACTTGACCCCAGCATCTCCTTCCCCAGAAAAATGATTGGCAGAATCTCCAAAAATGGTGAGTGTGTGTGACTTTGGGAATCTGCTTTGTTTTAGGCTTCATGACCTATGGTACTGAACTGCACATACTTTGGGCTCTGGAGTTTTGTATCTTGGGGTCAAAGCCTGTGGGAAAGGAATAACCCTGCTACCAACAAGCATTTGAAGTGTGTAGGATAAAAAGTGCTGTGTGAGGGGCTGCTGACAAGCATCTGGACTGACAGAGATGACCCTCTGCTGTTGACTTAACAGTTGACATTCTGCAGACTGAAAGGAGGTGACCAATTCTCTGGGGATGGAAGAGTACAAAACATAACCAAAGATGAAAAGGAACTTTAGAAGCGCCTTAAGTTGAGATCCTTTGAAATCCCTTTGTGCCAGGCTGTCTGCAAAATGCACAGTACAAGAGAGCCTCACACAGGGCAGGTGTGTGGAATGGGAAGGAAAAGCAGGAAAAACAGCAGTTCCCTGACACCTCACAGGAATTCAGTGTCATAAGGAGAAACTGAATGCTAAGTCTTAGTCCCTGACCAGTGCTTTGTTACCTATTTTGTCATGACCTGCACAGGCTGATGCTTGTTTCCAGATATTGATTAGAAGGGTGCCAAAAAATCCACTACAGGTGTTACTTTTGTTGTGAAAATATCAGCAGTTCAGTTAACTAGAGATAATGTCCCCGCTGCATGCTTTGGGGGCAGACATTCCCTCCCTCCTGGAAAAAACACCTCTCAAAACAATGGCTTAACGAAGTGCCTGCCTGCCTCCAAAGCTACACATGTCAGCCAAGTGCCAAGTGAGGAGAGGAGGCAGAGCCACTGTTTGAGAAGAGTGATGCCCATTCTTGAGCCCCCTAAAAATATAGGCCCCTTATATGGCAGGAAACTCAGTGCAAGTTGAAGCTGTCAGAGGTGATTTAATTCTTGCTGAGTGCTCTTTGACTCCTCTCTGAGTCCCAGAATGAAGCCGAGGTCAGGGACTCAGTGACTGCTGGCTGCCAGCCCCATCACAGCTCTGGGAACAGCAGCTTATGTCTGTGTAATGCAGATCAATAATCTCACCATGGGACTGATCGCTTGTAGCCATGTGCTGGGACTCCCCATCTCCAGTGTCAGAGATTGAGATGAGGCACAATAACTGCATTGAAAGGGAAGATGTGCTTTTTGTCCAGTAATTAATATTTCCCTTCCACGTGTACTTCTAGACAGAATGGGCTGGATTACCTCACGTTGAGCCAGAACATTTAAACTCGCTGATGACATTTCAAGCAATTGCAGCACTTGTTACATTAATGGCAAAATCTCCACGGCTTTTATGCCTCTCCCTTTTAGAGCTTAGGTTATCAGTGGTAACTCTATCCCCGATTATTTTTGGTAGTGTAGCTTTCACCCACCTTATATGCAAGCAATATGTTTGCTGTAGACATGGTGCTGCAGTCTAATCCTAGACCCATAATATAACAGAGTGAGGAAAGGACCAGTCACCTTTAGAGAAGCCTTCCTAGTTTATGCCAGCAAAGGTTTTGGGTCTGTAAAGACTGTTGTTCATCAAAATATTGAAATTGCATATGACTACCTTAGATTGAAAAAATAGACGTATAGTTTTTAAGCATTTTCCTGGAATTGGTACAGATATTTAAGTGGTTATTGGTCAGTAACAGAATTCTGATCATTTAAATATCTGAAGTAAATCAAAAGCTTTTTTTTCAGAAGCAGGAGCTCAGATGTTATAATTTTAAATGTTATAAATATACTCACAGTAATGACTGTAACACCAGTTCCTTTATATACATAGAAATTAGCCATGATGATCAATATTAATCTTTATTGCCTTTGAATTGAAATAAATTTAGAAATTTATTAATATATGCTATTACATCACACTGATTCACAGATTTTATGGCTAAAAAGGGATATTGTATCAGTTTATCTCATCTCTTGTACAGCAGGTTGTACAGTTTCCTTATAGTAGTCCATTCAAATAAGTGTATCTCACACTTGGGTTTTAGGACCCATGTGTTCTGCGATTTTTACCTATCTGTTTTTAGCAAGCCCCTCACAGGTAGCCAACAATATGTCTCTCTCCATGTTCTGATTAGCTTATACCAAAATTGCTGCTTGCTATATTGACTCCACCAAGGTGGTGGTTCCTTGCACACCTTTCGTTTAAACTCAGAGGCAGGTGTACTTCACAATATAACGATCACAATATAATCTTGTTCAGTTTAACAATTTTTTCCTTTAGATACTGTCTTGGCAAGATAATGACTGATTTCAGTATAGCTGAAACTTAATCTTTTTTTTTAGTAGGTGATCAGTATTGTTATGCATCTGCATTCCCACAGTCAGGGCTTTCCATTAACAAAGCCAGTGAAGGCATTCAAAGGCTGCATGACTGCATCAACAAGTAACAGGGACTTTTCTCTCAGACTTAGCTACACCAAAGTTTGTCATGTCATGTGGACATAAAATATCTTAGCTATGAGTTGGAATTAGCCTCTTTAGTCAGAACAACTGGCTAAAGAATCATAAATAAATTCAATTAGCTCTTGATATTGCGAGTATTTTATTATTTCAATTGTCCAGTCCTGTTACCACTGAGCTCAGACCCATCCATGAATTCAGCCCCTGCCAATTTGCCGTTTTCTTCTCCTATGTCTTTTCCATAAGCAGGACACATTTCACGTATGCAGGCTTGATTTTCAAGAACTTAAGCACATATACAACTTGCTAAAGCACGGATTATTCTATCAACAGCATAGTGTGGAAATCTCCTTCTTTTGGGGGTCCCTGTCACTCTCATTTTGCTTCTTGCAGCAACTTATCAGTTACTTTCTCTGTTATTTCATAGAGCTTCTTGCCATGTGTCTCTAGATAAGATGCAGTGACCACTAAATTTTCTGTAAGTTATAACAGAGTCAAAGAAAAGGGACCTGTTCTATTCCCACACTACATCCCAGATGGGGTATTAGTTGTCTGGTAACATTTATCTTGTGGAGTTTTTTTTCCACTTAATTAAATTTCCTCAGTGTAACAAACCAGTATGATTTCTGCAATACTGATTGTAGTTTTCCTGAGGTTTTACCATGGAGAAATGCATTCAGAACTTACTCTGTGTCTCCACTGGAAAGAGCTGTCTGCAGGAATTTGCGGTGCCCTTCTGACACTGTAATCCTAAGCGGCCCAGGGAAATTTAGGGAGAATCTCAGGATGGAAAAGTGCTGCTAGTTCTATTAAATCCTATTAAAATGTCATAAATGGAAAAATGAAGTTTAAACAAGGCTTGGGGAAGCACTTTTAGAGAAAATCTGTTGTTTTATGTATCTTTATTTTTACCATTAAAGCTGCTTCTGTTTTGCTGCAGACACGCATTGTGAAAATTGTCAGGAAAGAATAAGAAAATAGTAAAATGATTCAAGCCCAAATTAATGCCTTTATGGTTATAATTTTCTTTACTTCAGTTGATTTTTCCCTGGCAGAGCTTTAAGAAAAATTCTATCTCACCAAATAACAGAAAATCCATAGTGCAAAAACAAGCAGATATTTGCAAGGAGCCCCAAAATTCTGCTGATGAACTCCTGGTGTTTTGTTAGTAGGTATTTCTAGAATGGATGACATCTGATGTTATTTTGTAGATGCATACTAAGGGAACATACATACACACACATACATACGTGTATATGTGGATACTTTAAATATCTGTCTCAGTAGGTAACAGTGGAATTTACTCCATTCATTACTGATTCCCCTGGGGCTCTGGAATTTCAGGATCTGACATCTTCTGATAGAGAATTTCTAGTTGTGTTGTTTCAAATGCTGGTTTAAATAAAACAAACAAACAAACAAAATCATTAGCAGCACTAATACAGCACATCATGATGGCAGGTTAAATATAGACATGGATTACAGAGTCATTGTTTTCACTCCTGCTAAATAAGACAGTGCACTTAAAATGGAATGCCACTTGACCTTTTGTGTCTCATCAGTCTGTGGCTGTATTTAACCGATGCAGGGAGGAAACATTTTCCCCTGGAACTGTCCCCTGTTGATATGACGATCGCTACTGCGGGGTCACGCCATGCACCAGAGGCAGAAGCCCAGCGCTCCAGAACACACGAGCGATCCTGCAGCCGATGGAGGAGCTCTGTCCATGTCTCACAATGAGTCACGCTCTCTTCTCAACTTCTCTCAGCTTGTGCTCTCTGCTGGCCAAATCAAACCATCACCAACGCTCAAACATTCAAAAATCACATACTTTGAAGTAGAAATTCTTGATGTGCAAAGCAAGAAGCAGATCTGCATTGTGGACAAGGTGAGTGTATTATTCTAGCATGCTGGGGATGTGCCTGGTTCACACAGTGCCAGTTCAGGGACTCTGTTTTCACTGTGTTGTGGTCTTACTCTGCAGTAGAAGTACTTTCATTCTTTGGGAGATACTCAGAACTTTTTGTTAGTCACAATTCTGGGCTGCTTTTCTCCAGAGTTTTTACAAATAATCCAGCACTGGTTTGTTTTAGACCTCCTGGTTGTTCTGTGGACTCTAGATCTGTCCTTAGGCTGTCTCTTGACAGTGTTTATTTCACAGCATGATACTGAAATGTCTTCTTCAAAGTGGATATTCAGTTTTGCTGGTATCCACACACACTCAACTGCACACTACTTATTAGATTGGGCAGGAACCTGGCATTTTAAAAAAAATTTAAGTTTTAAGCAAAGAGTCTTATCTAAAAGAGGTATTTTGAGATTTTGTTTGGTTAGTTTGTTTGTTTTAATAATGTGAGTAAAAATATAAACTACGGCGAAATTTTATAAGTAGGATGAGAGGACTAGGTGGGAATGAAGTTTACAAACCCACAAAAAACAGTTAAAAAAATGCTTCACAAATATTTGCATTGCAGTTTTTGTGATTAATTTTGTGATTCTCAGCAGAAGAACTGGTCTGTTGCATGCCATGAAAGTGGGAATCCTAATCTATTTAGACTATAGAATTTTTCAGTAACATAGTAGAGTTTTGAGACTTACTGTTTTGCTAGAAGAGAAAAAAATAAAAATAAAAAAATTCCCTTATCCTCACTGGCAACAGCTGGAACTGGTAGATAAGTTTTCTTCAAGCGTTTAATGCCTTTGAAATATGTAAGGTAGAATACTACCAGATTTCTAGTGTTCTTGATCATTTAAAGGGTGTTTTTGCAATTTGTATGCCTAGTTAAAGGTAAATGTCTCATTTGTTCATTCTTTATGAGGCAAAATATTTTTTGATTTTTTTTTAATCTAAACATAGAGGAAATATGTACAAAATGGTCAAATAAATATGATGACTATTAATACCAGTTCTAATGGTAGTGTTCACATTATTTAATTTATTGAGTGATATTTACACAGTTAGGTTATCTACATACTATACTGAATTAGGTTTTGATCCAAAAAAAGACTGAGTCTGTTCTTTATCTTGAGCTTTCCTATAGTGTCATTAAAAGAAATATATTACAGAAACAGAATCAGATAAAGAGCCACATTTCAGGAATCCTTCCATGATGCATGCTGTTGAAATGATAGCAGACCCGTGTTTTAATTTTTATTCTGGATTTTGATGAGCCTTAAGATTTTCTACACCTTATCCAAACCATGGACTCTGCCCCTGCAGTGGTGGAAAGAGAGACATGAATGGTGATTGAGAAGTACTCTCCATATAGAGGTAAAATACACACAAGGGAGCAATAGCAACTGTAAACTGAAAGTCTCTGCTCAGAAACAGGAATCTGTGTTCAATTTACATGGCCAGCACACCAAGGGATTGGTACAAGTACAGTACAAGGCTGAGATTTCCAAGACTGCCTAAAAATTTGTTTTCTGAATGCTCATTCACCTGGCCGTCTAGGTCCCTTCATTTGCTGTGATAGTCCCTTCCTAAGACAACCCTGAAAGTACGGAAGTTGAGTTCCTTACTTCCATGAACACTTGTTAGTATTGGTGAGCTTTGTTTCTGTTGGTTATTAGAGCAAAAAAGAGACTGTTTTACTGGATTATGCATAATCTTCTGTTTAATTAAATGTAACTGATACAGGTCCAACATGACCCTTCTAATGCCTCTTTTCTGTTTTTAAGATAATTATGATTAACTTTGTTTCCTGAGATTGCATGTAATTACTACTTGTCAAGATTTATAATAAGAAGAACAGGAACCATAGATTTTAAAATGTATGTGTTTGCACTCTTATTGCATATTGTTAGTAGTTCAGACTATTATGATTTAGCAAATACATTTCTAATTTTCTCAGATTAATAAATCTAAAGGGACAAACAAATAATGGCAGAGAGAGCAACCTTTTCTTTCTCTACCTAATAGAAACTCAGGCAGAGTGATTCAATGATTAGTGCTATGTGGTTAAATACCAGTGATTGCTTCCAGAGGTTCAGTTTCTATGAGACTCTGCATATGAATCCATTCAGATCAGTGGGAGCTCTATAAAGTCTGCAACATCATGATACATTTAACTAGCTCTGCTTTTAGAAAGAAATAATTTCTTGTCCTTAATGCAGTGTCAGGGATTTAGAAAAGGTGTGTTTAGCTGTGTGATCTCAAGAAATCAATTGGCATAAATAGGTTTTGAATCCAGCATAAGTAACTGTGAATTAATTCTCTATCTGTAAAATGAAAATAACATTATTTTCTTTGGTTTTCTTACCTGTCATACTTTTGGGAAGGACCAGTCACTTACACTAAGTGAACTGAGTGGTTACTATGAGTTTTTGATCATCTTTAATATAAAGAAACAGAATAAATACATATTTGTCTGCTTTCTAAGCCCGCAAGACAAATTCACATCACACTGCAGGCTTTTCCACAGTCAGGAAAGGCAGAAAAAAAATACTGAAAGGAAGCAGTAGGAGAGGAAAATCCCAGACATTTTGTTCCATAGTCATCTCTTCAGGAGCTAGGTCTTGAAGAAAATTACCTAATCTTGCAAAACTTGAAGTAAATTCACAGGAGTCAGCAACACCGGCAGTTCATTTTGCACATTCACGCTGTGAACATAAAATTCTTCATAGGAATATAATTTCTTTAATATTGTCAACCTGCTCTGGGGACTTTCTCTGCTATGGATATGGTATTATGCAAGTAGTTTGGTGCACACAACCTTTTCCAGGGAGTTACTTAAAGAATTTAAAAGAGAAATAATAAGTAATGTGAGATCTGTAGCCAGATGGGGGTCAGTCTCTTCTCCCAGGCAACCAGCAGCAGGACAAGAGGGCAGGGTCTTAAGCTGTGCCAGGGGAGGTCTAGGTTGAATATTAGGAAATAATCAGACACTGGAATGGGCTGCCCAGGGAAGTGGTGGATTCTCCGCCCCTGGAGGTTTGTAAGATAAGACTGGATGTGGCACTTAGTGCCATGGGCTTGTCACCATGGCAGTGTTGGAGCAAGGGTTGGACTTGATGATCTCAGAGGTCTTTTCCAACCCAGTCGATTCTATGATTCTATAATTCTGTAATCTTTCCCTCCACATTTGCTCTTGGCATAGAAATTAATTCTGAGGTGGTGGGCCATGGAGAAGAGGCTTCAGATTTTGCGGGATCAGGGCAGAGAAAGGAGGAATCAGCAGTCAAAGGCCTTACAAGAGCTGGTGCCTGAAAGCCACAATTAGGAATATTTAGCCAAGAAATTTGGCCCATATTTTGACAGTCAGTCAAGGGGCGATAAGGAACAGTTGGGTGTCTTTTGGGTCAGTCTTCAGTCTCTTCAACATTCATATCAATACTGCATTTTTAAAGATATTCTGTAGTTGAAACATGAGTCATAAAGGTTTCTTGTTCAATGAGTGAAAGGACTATTTAGCAAAGAATAAGTCTCTTCTTTGGCCAGTGTAAAACAGCAGGTGAGCCTAGATGATCACAAGTCCCTTTTCTTCCTCACAACTTATTAATTTCTATGGATGAAATTCCTGTCTCTGTGTAAAGAAGAGAGGGCAAGTAATTAGTGATTTCTTGTTAGAAATATTTTCAATGAAAAAAAGTCCTAAGATGTCTAAGGATTTTGGCTTTTGTATTGCTTCCAAAAAGACATAGAAAAAACCAGAACATGCAAAATTGATCAAGTATTATAAATGAAAGAAAACAATTCCTTTTTGTATTTTTTAACAAATAATCTACATTTTTTACCAGCCACAATTTATGAAAAATACATACCTTCTCAAAAACAGTTTTACTTGTGCATTGTTCCAAAAGGCTGATGTAGGTTGGTTTTAAAGTTATCGATGTGCAATGATTTGATTTATAAATGCTGTTAAGGCAACTCATAAATGTTTTTTTATAGCATTCATTGTATAATATTTTTTTCTTCAAATTAATTTGTAGTAAAATGTATTTTTCCACAAACATAGTGCCATGTAATTAACTTTGCATGAGTTGCTTTTAAGGCAGAAAGTGTTACACAATACAGTTTTTACAGAATAAATCACCTTTGGGGAAACCAGCAGAGAAAGCTTTTTCCCATCTAAAGCCTCAGAGCTCAGTATTTTTGTGCTATCCGATTTTGCAAGTTAAGCTGTAAACAGAGGTGCAAACTCAGGTTTTGGCTACTATGCAGTGACCCTTCTTTTCAGAAAACTTCCTCATTTCTACTGAAAAGAGCTTGCTTCCTAAGATGTTCAGGAAGAGCCTCCTTTCTTGGTGTGCTGCAAAGATGATGGAAACTACTTTCCCGCTGTTCCTTAAACCAGCTCTCCGTGCACTACACAATGCCTTCTCCCGCTGAAATCTCTTTGTAAAACCCAGTTACTGATAGTTAAATGCTTATGGTTAGGAATATACACTGTAGGAACATTTAACTATATGTTTGTGCTTATAGACATGCTGTGCAATGCCTTTAATGAAAGTCATGTGAACATTGTTATTTTTATTAGATTAAAAGACCATTGCATTGACACAGGTCTGTGCATCAACCCCATCACTTGTATATACACAACTCTTCTTGCACTTAAGTATAACACTGTGTGTATTATTACATCTTTGCCAAAGATTAATTAGGGCTTATTCTGATTACTCTGAAAGGCCTGTCTTTGTATGAAGGCGTTCACAAGCAATTTTTTGTTTGAAAAGCACCGAAAATAGTAGTGTCCTTGTATCTGCATACTGTGGCTTAACAATACAGTGGATTTACACTGGCATGTCAGCAAAGCAGAAATGGTATTTCTAGTATCAGAAATCTATTAGTCTGGCCTATGGGTTGCAGCTCTGTCACAGAAAGTGAACAGCCGAGAAGAACAGTCATTGCCGGCTCTCTTTTGCATAGTCAGCTCTGGCAAATAAAAATAACTTCTCACATCATGACTTAGAGGTTAGAAATACCACATTCATTTGAGGTGAGCAAATGCAATCACTAAAGTAGGCAATGAAACTCTGCAAAGGAACTCTTTGCAGTACCAGAACATTGCCTCTAACATCAGGCTTTTCTCATTAGCCTCATTATAAGGAAGCAAAGTAAAGAAGGCCTTTCCCAGGAGAGTTTAATATTTTCATTGCTTTTTTTTAGTATTTTTATAATATTTCACTTCAGAGGATTATATATTCTTCTTTGTGGAGAACAAGCAGAATCTGTGAGTATCCACAGCAGCCTCATTCCATGAGTAGGATTTTTATTATAATTTATCTCATTCAAGCAGTCTATCATTAGAGATGTCCTGCCTCTGATGTCAGAGACGCCCAAAGGAACTGAATGCCCAGCTGTGTCAAAGGAGAGGGTTTTCATAGTAAGACCACAAATAGGTGCTGCAATTCCCTGTGCTAGCAATTCCCACAGCAATATGGCTGACGGAACACAGACACAGTGCTAGCTGGACATAGGCTCCTTGCTGTGGAATTCCTCTTTCTTACTTCCCTTTGGAAGGAGGATTTCATGGTGTCTTGTGCCTTTCACTGTATGTTTCCACAGCATCCAGCACAACAGGGATCTAGTCCCTGCTGGGAGGCACTGCAAAAAAATACATTACATTTACAAACTCGTTATAAAATCTGTGTGTTTTCTTGCTTGCAAAAATTGAATCTTATGCCTACCCCCCACTGCTGGAGGTGATGACAGTAGTATTTTCTTCCTCAGTTATCAGTTATACTTGGTAAAGTAGGTAAACATATTCAAATTCTGTAGTAGCAATGCATTACACTTATTTCTTCCCGCTCTACTAGAAATTCACATAATTTTAGTGTCAATATAGCTACAGATAGTTTCAGATGAGAAGAGACAGCTATTCATATTATTTTCTGCTTGCTCTTTGC